ATGTCGGCATTCAAATGCAATGGGTGACACCGAATCATTAATTTGAACGAGTGACAGCTGCTGCTTGTAAATAATATGGATTCCTGCTGCAGGAAATCGCAAGTTCCTGATGCAGGAATCCCTAATCGCACCTAAAGATATATGTGTAAATGTAGCCTTGTGCCATAGCTGTACTGGAATCGTTGTAGCTCAAGAGGGTTCCTCTTCTGTTAGGTCTGTGGTTGCTACCATTCAAGCAAAGGTTCAGAAACTATTTACCACCTGAGACTTTGACTTTGCTTATTATACAGCCAGTAATGGTCCTTATTCTGGCTTTTCCTGCTCTTCAAGACCTGCCTGATCACGTGAATGTGCTTCCTCAGATGAGTCATCCTTCTGATTTCGAGACTCTGGAGATGACGTGAAATAGGAGTGAGTACAGGTTTCGGTATAGTCAGAATCTCTGGCTGTTCATAAAAATGTAGACTTATTAAGGGGCTTTTACAGGTAGTCATAGCTGCATTCATTTTCTCAGTGCAAAAACATTTTCGGGTGTGATAATGAGGAGCAAGGGAATGAGTGGGTAAAATGTCCAAAGGTGGATGTGATTTGTATCCAAGCACCACTTATTCCTCGTTTATAAAAGAAAGAAAAATATTATATATATATATATCACACACATATATATACACATATACACTGAGTGGCCAGATTATTATGACCACCTGACGTTTGTAGGCAAATTAGCTATAATTTCGCGCTGAAGTTGCTAGAGGGCCAGATCATTATAAATAGGGAACCAGGTTGTTTACCACGACAGTAGAAGTGATTTTTTTCTGAAGATATGGGTAAACAATGCGATTTAACAGCCTTTGAACGTGGGATGATTGTTGGCGTTCGGAGCCATGGAGCGAGTATCAGCAAAACAGCAGAATTCGTTAAATGTTCAAGAGCAGCTGTTGTTAAAGTGTTTAAAGACCAGACTGTTAGCCGAAAATCTGGGTCTGAACGTGCAAATTGTGTCCGTCAGCGACTAGTCAATGTTAGGGCAGAACGGAGAGTGGCAAGACTGGTACAAGACAACAGAAGGGCAACAGTGCAGTGTCAGATTCCTCGGATCGCCTTTCAACATCTCGTGGAGTCACGAGGTGGCCCTACGAAGTCATCTCGTGGAGTCATCTCGTGGCCCAACTAAGTACTGATGGGGTGGTAATAATAATCTGGCCACTATCAAAAGACATGCTTTTGAGTGTTAACCTTTCTTCTCCAGGTCTGAAGTAATACTAATCAACATGATAGAGTTTACTGCTTAAAGCAAGAGAAAGTTCTTACGGGAAAGGTGTCAGGGTGTCATAAATGTTGGACTTGAGTGAAAAGTGCATCCTGATAACCAAAGGCCAGAACAGCTAAATATAGGACGACCAATAAACAAATGTACACCTTAACACATAGATGGGTATAGTAATAAAACATACATGAATATTATGATGTACTGCATGTTGATATAAAGTTCTGGTAATGTGTCGGTAAACCAGAATCCACATTAAGTCCCTCCTTTATGGTGTTGAAATGTGTAATTATTTTCATCTCAAGTGTTTTCCTTTTTGTGAGAGTCTTTAAAATTCCCTTTCAGTACTTGAATTTTGAGGTTTTGGATGGAGTGATCTATCTGGGAGAAGTGATGTCCTACTGGGGTGCAATGTTTGCTTTCCTTGTGGTTATTGATCGAGCTCCTGTGTAGGTTCATCCTGAGATGCAGCTTAAGGCTAGTTTCCCCAATGTAACAACCTTTGTCGCATGCTGGTATCATGTACATGAGTATTATCCCTTAATGGTGAACGTTTTGTTATTGGCTGTAATTTTGGTCACATACTGTATATATTGGCAAAGTTTGCAGCGGGGTTTATTGCATTGTACTGTGCCATTCTGTGTAAGCTCCTGTTCTGGGGTCAGCTTACTGCGTACCAATCTTCTTCTCAGGTTCAGTATTTGAAAGCCAGTATTGGGGGCTGAGGGAATATTTCTTGAAGTATGGGGTCTTCTGAGAGTAGTGGCTGTAGGTCTTTAATAATCTTGCGTATTACCTCTAGAGAGGGGTTGTAGGTAAATAAAAGAGGGGTCCTGGTTGGGTTTTTCTTCTCTTTGTACTGTAGGAGCCTTTTCCCATGGTGTTCTTAGAGCAGATTCAATTTTTTCTAGATATTGTCTTTTCCTTGTAGCCCTTTCGCCGAAATGCATCAGCCTGTGTGCCCAGCAGTTTGTCTCGGCCCTCAGTGTCCGAGCAAATGGTGGTATCGGATGACCTGGCTGTAGAGGTCATCCTGTCTAGTGTGATTAGGATGGACGCCGGAATTTTAGCGGTAGCTGTACCTGTCTGTGGGTTTTCTGTGCACAGAAGAGCGGAGTGAACCCTTGCTGGCACAATCCCGAGAGAAAACACTGAGGGGAATTTATGAAAAACGGAGCAGCTGTGCACGGCAACCAATCAGCATCCTCCTTTTAATTTTCAAAGCTTAACTGAACAAACTGAAGAGAGAAGCTAATTGGTTGCCCTGGGCAACTGCTCCAGTTTTGATAAATTCCCCTGAGAAATTCATTTTGAGCTTTATTAATGGGTGGAATGAATTGAATGATTCATGGAAGTTTGGAAGGCTTTCTTCTCCTTCTGTCCATCTTATAAAAATGTCATCAATTTAAACGATAATATTTGAATAGTTTGTGGGGGGGAGTGGCTAGGAATCTGTGTTCTCGATCAGCCATGAACTAGTATCGGGACATCCGAGTAACAGCACACGTAAATATCTCTGAGGCGTGTATGTTGGTTGAATATTCTCGCTGTAAGGGAGGTTTCCATCTGGTTATTATTTGACATTGATGCTGTTGCAGCAACCAAATAATGTGTAATGTCTTTTTCATTTGATGAAATTGAAGGTGTTTGTTGGAAGGATTTTGGTTTTTTGGTATGTTGAGAAGACTGATGTTTTTCTGCACTGTGGCCGGACAGTAATGTTTGCTTAGTTTTCTTTGTGTGTACAACAATTTTCAGAGCATTGCATTCTGGTGCCAAACACGTCAGACAGTTGTAGACTACGTTTAGTTTTATGGAGTTCTGAAACATAGCAGCACCTACTTCCATTTCATTAAATACAATATAAAGTCAAATGTTTTCCTAAACTGGAGTCATTCTGGCGGAAGATTTATTGTTTGTATGGGCAAGATAAAAAAAATCTACTACATTCATGGCTAAAAATATTGGCACTCCTGCATTTCTGTCAGATAATGCCCCACTCCACGCACAAAATTGTTGCAATTACAAATATTTAGGCATTCTCGTGTTTATTTCTTTTGTTTGTATTGGTATGACACAAAATTAACAGCTTTTTGATGAAACAAAATGATATCTTTTTGGTAAAGCCCATTATTCCACTGTTTTCAGAAAAAGAAATGAGGCCTTTAAAGAAACAAATAAAGTCCCTACAGTCAAACATAGTGCAGGGTTACTGATGTTTTGGGGTTGCTTTTCTGCTTCAGGCATTCAATGTCTTGACTGGGTCCATGGCATTATGAATTCTGAAGACTACCAAAGAATTCTTAGGTGGAATGTAGGGCCCAGTGTCAGAAAGTTGGGTCTCCGTCAGAGGTACCAGTATTTTTTTTCCCATACTCGCCGATACCATCAAGGAAGCCAGGCGGCGTGTAATGACTTGACACCCAGCTTCCTGATTAGCCGGGAAGCTGTCTCCATGCACCCTCGTCCCCAGGTGATAAGAAAGCATGGGGCGACTTTCTGGCCAATCAGGAAGCCGGGTAACGTGTAATGGCACGTTGCCTGGCTTCCTGATTAGTCGAGAAGCTGGCCAATCAGGAAGTGACAATAGAGCATTGAGCCAGATTCCCAGCCAATTAGGAAGCCGGGCAGCATGTAATGACTTGCTGCCTGGCTTCCCGATACTGGAAGCTCAAGTTTCGGGATACGCATCGGAGCATTTGGGTGAGTACGAGTACTCGGCCAAATACTCTGCATCGGCACCAATACTAGTATCGGTATCAGTGAATCCCTACTTACTAAGAATGTTCTTTCTTCTATAAAAAGAAAATAAATGCATCCACAACATCTAGGACTGCTAGGCTGGTAAAAGTTACATTTTTGGTTTTGAGTTTACTTATCTTTTGAAGTGACACTAAACCCGGGTGTTAAATCTTAAAAATGCTTTCAAGTCCCCCAACTAATAACAAAAATGTATCTTATTTGTGTGTCACTCGGTTGTAGATCCTCAAATCATCTCTGAATTGGTGCAGACACTGTTCTTCCTTCTGGAAGGTGGCTACTTTTGTTCCCCATGGTCCCTGTGTGCTCACTCCAGTGATGGACTTCATTCTCGCCTCCTCGTTCACTCATTTGTATTGAGATTGTAGTCCATCACAGGAGCGAGCTTGTGTAAACCTGACACATTGTTTCCTGGCCTATCTACAGATGATGCCATATGCACTCTTAGATAAATGTACATCATGGTTCACTTGGGTTTCTTATGTGAAATATTCTTTGCAGAATGACCATAGATAAAGAGTGTATAGCTTCTCCAAGTCCCATGACGGGGAAGGGAACCTTGGTTGGAGGACACCCTGACTCCTTTTAGAGCAGGGGTAGATGGCCTCAGCACTTCACCTATGGGCAAACCACAAATCCCACCATGCCTCTGGGTGTCATGCCTGTGATGGTCAGTCTTTCCATGCCTCATGGGATTTGTAGTTCCACAACAGTTAGAGTAACGAGGTTGCCTACCCCTGTTTTAGAGAGCTGGTTCCAGACAGCACTCGCATTTTTACTCTGTGTGTTGAGGCTGCTACCAATGTGAATGAACTATATCAGTATATTAGTACAGTCACCCTGTGACCTGCCTAAGGGATGGTGTACTCCTGAAGAACGTATCTGACTAATTTGAGACTTTATTGTACTGTAAATTACTTCTGCAGTTGTAATATAATTGAGTAATTATTTTTGTGATCTGTTTTCTTTGCAGAACAACACTCGCTACCCTGGAATGGACATTAATATTACTGGCGTGTGGGAAAAAAATGTTACTGGCCAGGGAGTCACTGTGGTGGTCGTAGATGATGGGGTCCAGTACACAAACCAGGACATTCAGTCAAATTATGTGAGCATTTTTCAGCTAACCAATCTTGATGATGTGATTGGCTGACTGCATAACAACTAATGCAGTAGATCTAATAAACAAAACATAACTCAAACCTTCTCTTTGCCAGAGTCCGGAAGGTAGCTATGACCTCAACTCCAACGATCCAGACCCCATGCCTCATCCTGATAAATTCAGCGACAACCATCATGGAACCCGCTGTGCTGGGGAAATTGCTGCAGTTCCTAACAATAATTTCTGTGCAGTTGGTGTGGCCTATGGTAGCAGAATTGCAGGTTTGTGAGTGGAGAAAAAATGAAACCAAAATTCAAGCCATTCGCTGTTACTTGTGGGTTCTTCTTTATTTCACTCGTGATTGTGCATTGTGCCTTGGGAGTCATCTTGGCTGGGTCGCCATTTCTAGTAAGAGTAGCCACAGTACTAAACTGTTTATTGGTTAATGAGAAAGTCTTCATAACTGACCGCTCTCTAGACAATTGCTGAGTATCTGCTGATTTTATGACTCCTATCTCAGCATCTACATATCTTTCCTCATTTTTTTATTGCATTTTATTACACTGTTTTATTTTTGCTTCCTATTTCAGGGATCAGAGTTCTAGACGGCCCTCTTACAGACAGCATGGAGGCAATTGCCTTCAACAAACACTATCAGATCAATGACATCTACAGTTGCAGGTAATAAATATGTACATGTACTATAGATATTTAGCAAATAGTAGGTGTTGGAATCGTTTTCAGCCTCAGTTTGTCCACTTTGATTTACAGACCATATTGTTGACCATTTAGTGCAGCATTGTATGTGTATTATTGGTTCAAACTATTTAGGGCACACTATTTCATGGGAAATGGAAAGCATTTGAAAAACACGCTTTGACACATTCCAAACATCCTTTCAAGTGCAACTATAGGCAAAGTAAAAGTTGATATATATAATGCAGTCTTTAACTAGCATTAACACAGGAGGCCCGTATCTGCTACTACCACTTAGAGGATGCCTGGGCTGCTGGTTATGAATAATTACACATATTCTTATGTCACCCCCAAATGATTACTGGCTAGCACCTCAGCAAATTCAGTGGAGTGATATGTGCTATTTCAGTGACATCTTCTCACTCGTAGGTCCACCCATGATAGCAGCATGCACTCCTACCTCTGTCCTCTCCACCTCAGTCTGTGCAAGCACACACAATCATTGTGACACACCACGCAAATGCTGCAGTGCATATTATTCACTGACATGCAGGAGTCACAATCGGATTCTGGAGGGGCAGTGCAACATTCAGAAGCCTGAGCAATCTAAAAGTTCCCATCATAGACTGCCAGGGATTTCCAACCAAACTCAAGAGCTGTGTTTTCAGTTTCACAGAGCAGGGTCTGAGAGGAGACAGTCGGATACAGTTAGTGGGGGACCAAGGAGAGAGTAATTAAAGGAGAACTATGAGGTGAGTGCTTTTCCCTCCCTTCATAGTTCTAGCCGGCCTGTGACAATGAGAATGTAACAGGTCTGCTCAGTAGATCGGGAGGTGAGCGAACACATACCGGCGTTCGCTCAGTTTTCCCCCCTCCCTGCTCCGCCAGCGCTGACTGGCGGATCGGACGGGGGAGGGGGCGCGTACAGCTGGCTCTGCCTCTAGATAGGCAGAGCCAGCTGTCACTCACGCAGCTGGGCAGATCCAGACATAATTGTCGGGATCCGCTTCAGCTGCGGCGTCTCAGAATACCGCAAGCAGTAGCTCGCGGTATACTGAACTTAGGGTGACGGGAGGACGCTAGTTTGTGTCCTCCCGTTACTCTAAGGAGAACTATGGGGAAAAGCCTTAACCCCCATAGTTCTCCTTTTTAAGGGGCCTCATTGAGTGAGGGCATTACTGCTGCAGCATAGACTCTTCTTACACAGCCCACAAGCCAGCCTGGGGGGTAAGTGCAACATTTTCTGCCAGCATATTTTAATGATTGCCTATTTACTGCCTGCATATTGTAACAGTTGACTGATTGTTGCCTGTGTTTTGTATACCATTGCCCATTTGTAGCCCATTTATTTCCAGGATAGCCTGTTTTGCCTAGGTATTCTGATGTCATTGATGTTTAGAGAATCATGTTACTGTAATTTAGTGCCTTGTAGACCACTATCAAAGCATGCAGCTGTAATCCTTATCATGTTGGTGCACTGGAATGCTGTTGATATCCCCATGCTTCTTTGTTATCACCACCACATGGGGGACTATTAGAAACCTTGAATCTTATTTAGTATTCTCTTATTATCCCTAAGTTTCGCTCCTTGGCTCCATCTAGAGGCAGTAATGCTCTCCAGTCATTGTACGCTCGGCTATATGCTGGGTGAACGTGTTCTAAATCAGCTTCTAAGTCTGCTGCTCTAGAGACCTCATTTATTTTACTAACATGATTATATATAATGTGTTGCACTTACAGTGATTGGACCTTGATTAGTGGTTGTGGTGCTGGTAGTGATTAACACGGATGGCGCCATGTTTTCCAAAATCGTAAAGATGGAGATAACCAGCACTCCGTCAAAAGCATTTAATTATTTTGCTTATTTATTGAAGAAACATGTCACAAGCATCAATTAGCCAACGTTTCGGGGCCACGCAGGGTGACGGTCACTATGTCGCCTTGAAGAAGGGACCCTGCGTGGCCCCAAAACATTGTGACAATTGTGACATGTTTCTTCAATAAATAAGCAAAAGAATTGAATGCTTTTGAATGACTGCCAGTTATCTCCATCTTTACGATGATTATATATAAAATCTTCAGTCTCCTTTTTTTTTTTCTCATGCATTGGAAGGCACATTAGTGTAAGCAAAGTGAACTTCAGCATCGGATATTCAGAATGGACCTCGATATGCATCTACAACATCCAACAAAATTTGCCTTTGTTGCACTTCCCTCAAACCTAAATGAATTGTGTGTAATTTTCACTGGTGCAGTGTGTAGTTCTAATTGTGGCATAGTAACATTATTTGTAGACACTGGAGCAGAGAAGGAATTCACAAACACCTCTTAGCACCAGTTATCAGGCAGATACAGTAGTGGTACAGTAGTGTTTTTTTTTTTTTCATTGCTCTCTCCCCTCACTGGTAATAAGTGGTCATGTCTGTAGGGCACCAATAGACACCAGATATCCAGATGGTAAACCATTTAAAGTAAAGTGCCTCCTGTGAAAATAATTGCACAGAATGGGATTTTTTAAAAAGTTTAATGGTTTGTTTCCTTTTTTTTAAGCTGGGGCCCTGATGATGATGGAAAAACTGTTGATGGACCTCATCAGTTGGGAAAGGTACTTTGTTTCTTAACTTACCAATGAATCACTCCTCTTACCTGTCCTGTCTGCAGAAATAATCTGAAATTAACAAGTAATTATAGTTTATTGCCCCTTCATCCTAACTGCTCTTGTCGTTATGCTGATCTTGTCGTTATGCTGATCACCTCTACAAATTAAATGACAGACCTTGGATCAGATGATATCCAGGTTTTGATTTTGTGAACTCTAATTCTCTTTTATGGACGCTGCTGTACTGCATGTGTGGGATTCTGTATGGCAGACTTCTATGGGGAGTCCAGATCCCTCTATGCATATAGTAGTTCAGGCTATCCCCTGATGTCTGGTACAAAATCAAATATATGTGCATGACAGCAGCTCTTGGGAGAAGGAAATGCTGCCTAGACAGATGTAGTTCATAGTATCAGAACCCAGTTATTGTCTAATCTGAGGCTTGTCTTTTTTAATATGATTATTATTATTCATTTTACACTATAAAGAGAATGAGAGGAGTAATGAGTTCAGAATGGGGAGTCCCAAAAGTGCATTTACCCCCTAAACATGTGCTCAGTCTCGTAGTACATTTTTTTTTTATTTTTTTTTTACAAAAACCTTTTGCAGCTATATGGTTTCATGTTTTTTTATTTCCCACCTTTAGGCTGCCCTACAGCATGGAGTCATTGCTGGACGAAAAGGATTTGGAAGTATTTTTGTAGTGGCCAGTGGTAATGGAGGCCAGTACAATGATAACTGTAATTACGATGGATATGCCAACTCTATTTATACTGTCACTATAGGTAAATATAATGTATTACGTTACAGGGAAACTACAGTAGTTTTGAGTCAGGTTGAATTGTTTTGTTGTCTTATTTTTTTTTTTGCAATAAATGTTTATTGAAATTTTTGTATAGAAACAAAGGAAACAAATAATCCTAAAGGGTTAATAAACCCTCCGTTTTTTTTGCATATATCTACTGCTACCAAACAGTAGATATATGCAAAAAGTGTAAAAAAAAAAAAAAAAAAACGCTTTCAAAAGGGTTAATACTTACCGGTGTCTTCTCCGCGCGCTCCCCGCCAAAAATGTGAAAATTCTCGGGCGGCCAGAAAGCATCTTGGGGCGGGCGCATGCGCAGTTTACATTTTTGTCCGGGACGCGAGGAGAGACAGAAGGTAAGTCTATGGACGCGTGCACCCGCATGCAGACTCCGTGGGACAGGAAGTGCCAGCAATCTCAGAGGAGTCAGCACTGGATCGGAGACCCGCAGCAGCGCTGGAGGGACAGATGAAAAGGACAGGAAAGAAGAAGATCGGATTAAGAAACATAATTTAAGGTAAGTGCTGACATTAACATTGGGGGGAGGGAAAAATATTTTTGACTTTTAATGTCACTTTAATACAGAATAGTGAGAGCTACAACTAGAAATTAGAAACATTTCAAAACCAGTTGGAGGAACTTAAAACCCATTCAACAGTGTGTACAAATGTGTTTGTTTTTTAGTGAATGACAAATGTTTTGTTTGAGTGCTTTTGTTCATCTTTGCTTTAATCTATGTTTACAGGTGCTGTTAATGAGGCTGGAAAAATGCCTTTCTATGCAGAGGAGTGTGCTTCAATGTTGGCAGTGACCTTCAGTAGTGGAGACAGACAGATGAGAAGTATTGTAAGTGGTCAAAACTATCTTAGTACTTCCTGCTGCTTCAAATCATGTTTTCTCACTATGCTGCCTAGATATCTCAGCTCAGCTCTTCATCTCCTACAGTCTCCTAGCAGACCGTAATGGTATTACTGCCTTGCTAATGTTTGGAGTACTTAGTGTGACAAGAATAATACAAGAATTGACATGTGTTACACCATACTGTAAATCATATTTCACCAATAGAATATCCACCAAAAAGAGGCCAGGTCCTGAAGGAGGAAAGGGGATACACTTGTGTTACCAAAACAGACTCAGAATTTCCAAATCTCTGCTAAATTTGAGCAGAGATTTTTTTATGTCCGTATATAAGCATTAACATTTTGACTTAAGTTCAGGTTTATTTTATTAATAAGAAGGACTTATGGCAGATGTATAGAGAAAAATCAGTCTAGCATCACTGTAATAGAAATTGTAGACCTTTTAATATGTACAGTCCTGAGAAAAGAGGTGAAAGGATTGCATGCTGCCTAAAACCTGTAAATACATTAAGGATGTGAAAAAGATTCAGAAGAGCAATATTTTTTAATATCAATCTAAGACTAAGAACAGGGGGATATGATCTAAAGCTAACAAGAGGAAAGCTCAATACTAATTCAGACTTGATGGACCACATGGTTTTGTTTTTTTCTGCCATTGCTCTTGTATGTTACACTGTGCACACCCAATCAGGTTCAAGGATAAGTAAAATAAAAAAGGATTTTCGCTAGTTAGCACAACTTCACCTCATTCACTACGTGAAGTCAATTTTCACTGAGGAATGAGGTGAAGCTGTGCTGATTCAGCGATCAATCATGTGCTAGCAGAAATCACATTTTCGTTGTTGTTTTCTCAACGAAATGAAGTATTCTTTGCAAACGTAATTTTTATTTCACTTCACCTTATTTTATAAGCTGAATAAAAATTCACTTTGCAAAGTAAACATGCTGTGTGATCCTTTAGCAAATCAACTGCACCGTATCTTTGTAGGAATTCCAACTGGGAGATCACAGTAGAAAAATCATTGGTTATGTGCTTGTTCTGTTTTATATTCAATTACAATGACACTTTTCTGTAGTACATCACTCGCATAGACCCTTTCTTAGAATGTTTTATCTGCAGGATGGCAAGTACTAATAAGATTGTCATGGCCAAGAGAAAAGAATAATTAGACAGAAGTGGAATTTAACCACAATGTTCATGTTGTGTATTTTTGCAGGTGACTTCAGACTGGGACTTGCAGAAAGGCACAGGTTGCACAGAAGGCCACACAGGAACTTCTGCAGCGGCTCCAATAGCTGCAGGGATGATTGCTCTGATGCTACAGGTCCGGCCTTGCCTGACATGGAGAGATGTCCAGCATATAATCGTATTTACTGCAACAAAGGTACAGTAAAGGTTGTTTATTTCTGCCTCTTTAGTTATACTCAACACTGAAAAATCCCACTTGTTTTAGAATCCTTGTGCTATAACACTTTAGAGACTTGCATCTAGGGCTGGAGTTCCAGCAGTTTTCCATTACAGTCACTTTTACTTTTAAGCTGCATATTGTATCTAAGCAACATTGAAATTGATCTGCATGCCCCACCACTTGTACTCTGAGAGACGCATAAATGTGTGATGCGAGGCATTCTGATAAACAAAGATGTGACCCTGAAGAAGGAAAGGCTGGCAGACATTTCTCAACTCCTGGCTCAGCTCTCTGCCTTGGAAACACTACACAAAGCCTCCTTATCTAAGGAACATGCGGTAGAACTCAAATACTTGGGAGATAAACTATCCTTTCCACTACACAAAGCTAAAACCCACTTGGGTGGACTTGAAAGGAGTTTGAGTTTAGCAACAAACAGAGCAAAGTGAAGGGATGATTTTTTGCAGTAACCCAGTAGCCAATGGAATATAGAATAGACTTCAATAAACTTCAGTTTTAAGATGAAGAACCTGATTTTCTTGAACGTAATTTTGAAGCCAAATGCAGCATTAAAAATCTCATCCAGGCATTTTTTTCTTCTAAATGTTATTTGTTGAGGATTAATGCTGTTTTATTTTGTGGTTTATTCTGCAGTATGAAGACCGTTTTGCAGCATGGGAAACTAATGGAGCAGGCTTCAGTCACAGTCATCAGCATGGTTTTGGCTTGTTAAACGCCTGGCGTCTCACCAATGCAGCAAAGGTAATTCTAGGAATATAGGCAGTTGGATATCTGAATTGGCCTTTGCATAGACACTTATAATGTTTACATTGTTCCCAATAGTAGTATAATGTTTACACTGTACCCAATAGTAGTAGTATATAGTAATATATAATATTTACTATCTAGAGCAGGGGTGGCAAACACAAGGCCCGCGGGCCGAATCCGGCCCGCTGGACCTTGTAATGTGGCCCGCACAGCAGCCAGGGCCGGTCCGCTATGCCGACTGTGTGCAGAGCAGTGTCTACTGTGTGGTAGCGAGCAGAGCCGAATACGTGATATGTTTACATTCCGCTAGGAATCAATCACTCTCCCTGGACGCATGTAATCATATCACGTATCATTACATGCGATGTGCATGTGTTTACATGGAGCTGCTGTCACCTGATCATTAACTTGACTAGGTGACAGCTGTCACTTGAAAACGCCAGATTAGGGATTTCTCCTGCATTCTGAGCAGTCTCCAATAAAGTTTCTTGTGGATGTTTTCAAGGCTAGTTATTACTTAAATTATTATTAAAACCAGTAGCAACTGAATGCAGAGGCAACTATTTATGATAATGAAGAGTAGATGCATAGTCCTATACAACCGGCCCTTTGAGGGTAACCATACTGCTGATGCGGCCCCCGATGAATTTGAGTTTGCCACCCCTGATCTAGAGGATGGAGAAGCCGAGTGAATTGTACCATGTGAAGTAATACCTTATTTTTGTTTCCCCATTATCATTCTCCATGAGCTTTTCAAAGAATGTCTGCATTGATGACAATATGGAGACTGCTATACTGGCCTCGTTTTTTAATAACTGACCTTGAACAAGCATGATGTCGATGAAATCAGAACCTCTGATTTTATGCACTTGTTGAAGCGACCTCATTCCATTTGACTATGGCGATAACCAGATAATGAGAATTTTAAGCAATGGCATACAAAATATTTTCCTCATAACTACAGTACTTTTAGCAGATAAACATATTTATATTGGAGAAAAGTATTGCAAACATTTACTAAAATGTACTGATTGAGTAAAACAAAAACGTCTTTCTTATTAATTTGCAGATTTGGGAGTCTGTCCCTTATTTAGCTTCCTATGTCAGTCCATTGCTAAAAGAAAACAAGAACATTCCTATAGTTCCCAGCAGGCTGGAGTTAAACTGGAATGGTGAGTCTTGACCTGTACAGCTATCCTTATACCTATCCTTGCCTTCAATATTGAACTGCCAGGTTTACTCGGGTAGCTTGACACCGCTCAATTTCTTCCTGGTCCTGGCTGCTCTCTGTGCTTGAATGGCCTTGCTGATTTTATATTTCATTAAAGTGTAATGAGTAGCATTCCCATTGCTACCATTGGTGGGAATGTCATGAAGGAAACAGGAAAGGGAGTGGTAGCAGCTAAGCTAACTTAGGATTTAGTTCTCTACATGTAGACACATTACTGGGTGAAATTCGGCAGAAGGGGCAATTCCTGCCCCTCGGTAAAGACACAGGCAAGTTTTAACCTGTTTGAAAGGGGTTGTTTTGTTTTGTTTTTTAAGTTTTTGCATATATCTACTGCTTGCAGATATATTTTAAATGCAATCAGTGTAAGTATGTGACTCTGACCTGGTATCAGCCTCTTGCAGTCCCTGTACAGCAGGACTGGAGTGAGAGAGGAAGAAGCAACACAGGATCCTGTGATGAGGAGCATTTTGATAATAGGAGAAAGCAGTGACAGAGCGATGAGCTAATTACTGTGCTGCTTCTCCTTTTACTGTCCAGTCACAAATTGGGACAGGTACAGGATGCCAGCCTACAGACCGAGGGCATCTGGCTGCAGTAAAAAGCACTGCCGGTGAAATCTGTGGAATAGAGCTGAATATTACAACAAAAGATAGTATTTTTTTATTTGAATGGGTTATTCATATTTGTATCTTGTTATTTTTGGCTGAAGTTCTTCTTTCATTGAGTTTCATTATGTGTTTAATTGTTGAGAACACAAAATGATGGGATACTGGCTGCCAGTACTTTTTTTTTAGCTGGCTGGAGTCTGTTTAATTGTATGGCAGCAGATAAAGCGTCATCAGTGTTTCTACATAGTTATTATATTTTATATTATTTTATATTTATTTTGCTCAGTTTTTTTGCTTTCCTTGGTTTATAACATTAAGAATGGGATGTGTTTTATGCAGGATTCAACCAGTCTGGAGAATTCAACCAACAGACCATTTATTCTAATTTAATAAGCGCTAGTACACCTGAGTGTGATTCATGTGCCTGTCACTTGTAGACCCATTTTCTTAGCATATAGAAAATGTCATCCCTAAACGAAACATAATCAACCGGTTTTTCGGTATCGAGTACCAATCTTTATCTTTTGGTACTTGCCGATACTGAATACCGGTACTTCGGCTAGCTAGATGAGATTTCCCAGCAATGCTCTGCTGATGTAACCTTCCCATGATGCAATGCTTTGGCAGACTGAAGTTATTTTTCCCTTTCAAAGCAGGAAGTGAATGCTCTGCAAGTATAAGTATTTCAAAATCAGAGCATTATACACCTGACATGTCTGTTATTATTAATCATCATACATAGAGGGATGCATTGGTGGAATTAGATTTTTGAATGTAAAGATCCAATTTAAAGAATAACTAAACCCAAGAAGAAATCATGAATATGTTTAAGCTCACTAGCCCTTAGATGTGGTGGCTGCGTTCGTTTTCATCCAAGAAGATTTTCAGAAAAACCTATTACTTTTACCAGAAATATGGCTTGGTCACTTCTTGTGAGCAGAACTTGAGCACAAACAATGGTTGTCTTTTTTCTCTCTCCTTTCCTAATGTAATGGAAATGAACAAAAGCAGACATTTTTGAAGACCAGCTTAGGTGACAACCATGGCTTCCTCCGTAGATATAGGGAAGAAAGTGACCGTAGCCACATAGGAACAGGAAGCAGGTTATTCACAGGATACCCAGGTGAAAGTAATGGAATAAAAGCCTGAAACCTTTAAGCTATGCAGCCACCTCATCTAAGAACTTGTAAACTACAATATATTCCGTTTCTGTTCTGGGGTTTAGATATACTTTGTTTCAAGACCCTATTCATCGTTTTTAATATTCTGTGACTCAAATATAGATGGCAAAAAATTAGTTAGTAGTTCCTGCTTTAATCTCCTTCTCCTGCAGGTCTTGATTTTACTAAATTGTTTAAAGCGGGTTGGCCATCATTGTACTAATGCCCCCACATAGGAAAGAGAGTAGAAGCCTTGAACCTTCATTTTTAGAGCTGTGAATCTAGTGTGATGAGTTGCCTTTCCTTTTCTGTGTTTGTCATTTTCCTTTAAAGTGATATTAAAGGCAAAAAAAAGTTTCCCTCCCCCCCCCCATGTAAATGTTAGCACTTACCTTAAATGATGTCTCCTTATTCTGGTCTTCCTCTTCTTTCCCCATGTTTTCATGTGTCCCTCCAGCAGTGCGACGTCACTCCGATCCAGCACTGACTGCTCTGTCCCTCCGATCCAGCAGTGTCTGCATGCGGGTGCTCGCATCCATAGACTTACCTTGCGTCTCTGCTCGTCTCCCGGACGAGAATCGGAACTGCGCATGCGCCCGCCCCAAGATCCTTTGCGGCCGTACGAGCAGTTCCTGATTCTCGGCGCGGGAGCGAGCAGCGATAACGAGGTAAGTTTAAAATGATTTCAAGCGGTTTTTTTTACACTTCTTGCCTATATCTACTGCTTGCTAGCAGTAGATATAAGCAAAAAAAACAGAGGGTTTAGAACCCCTTTAAGTTTATTCTATACTTTAAAAAATTTGTCAGAATCAGCAAAAAAAAATTTAAAGCGGTAAAATGGATACGATGTATGTGGTTAACCTATTCATCAAGTTTAGCCATAATTTTATTAATGTTTGTTAAGAATACATACAAATGGATGAATCAGCACTAGTTTACATGATCACTGAATCTCCTTCACCTACTGGATATCTACATCAGCATGGGACCAGTCCAGTTGGAAGAGCTGCAGAAAAATAGGATATGTGTGGATTTACCCATAAGGAGCGTAAAGAGTACTTGGTATCATGAGGGGACCTGCTGGTCATGGCTCTGAAACTAGAGGATCATAGGGAAGTTGGAGATAGAAACATAAGAAGGAATCAAAAGACAGAGTTACATTCAGAAACCAGAAGTGGAGGGAATGAGCAAACTATTATGGGTTTTGCTTAATCGCCCGTGTCAACAGTAGTAGGAGTAGGGTGCCTTGGTGCACAGTTTCTGAGGAAAACTCGATTTATACTAAGGGCCTTACTCCTAGGTCAAAGTCCTTTGGTTTGCCACAAGGATAAAAGGTGTCAAGCTGACTGGCAGGGAAAAGTGCAAAATCATAACCTTAAGGTGCCCATACACCTTACAATTATCTGCAGATGTTCTGTGGTCAGATGGAAAAAGTGCAACAGATTGGCCCAGGTAGTGATTACTCCATCCACACAGTGTAGCGTAGATGGGGTAATCTGTTGCACCTTTTCCATCTGACCACAGCAAATCTGCAGATAATTGTAAGGTGTATGGCCAGCTTAAGGGTTAAGAGAAACAAGGGGGGGGGGGGAAGTGAAGTCAAAGCAAAAAAAGCACTTTACTTACCCCAGATGTGATGTTGCTCCCAGTTTATTCATTGTTATATGTGTCCCAATGTTTTAACATCCAAAGACTTGGGTAGGAGCACACTTTACAAGAGCTCTGTGGCAGTTTGGATTCCAAGTACAGTATATTTGCCTGTGTATGCAACAGAGATCTCAGTTTTGTTTCTAACAGGTTAGAATTATGTCCGCTTTGCTTTGCCGGATAGATAAATTGCTCTTAGCGCCATTCTTTGGCGGTACATGGAGCTTAGGGACCCACTTACAGAACAGGTTTTAGTCATCTTCATAAGAAAAATGAATGTAATTACAGGCTGATTTCATTTCATCAAGCTGGAGGATCTTCTGCGTTTATGAATGATACAAACTGGCTTACCATAACTTGGCATGGTCCTGGAGGTAGTGGCTCTGTAATCCTCAAAGTGTAAGGGTAACCCATGTAATTTGATAAATGGAACAGTTGGCTGTATTAAGATTAGGAAAACAAAACTTACAAAGATGCAATGTTATTTTTGGAATGAAACGAATGGGTACTAGGCTCACTGAGAATATTTCTATCTTAATGGTATTTTGAAGGTCAAGCAAAATATTTTAGATGGTTTAAGCTGAACTGTTTCAAACAACAAAACCTGAAATACCTTTCAGCTGGCAAATAATATAGCGAACCGTGTGAAGAGCTAAGACTTGTAAGAATACAGTGCGACATAGAAGGATTTCTATTAACGTCTTCAGGTTTCAGAAACGGCCCATAATAAGAGCCAGGCTGTGGAGCCAAGTTTATCTATTTGTTGGAAAGTCGGTAAGCTTGGAATGTATAGTCAACACATGACATAAATCAGAGTGTGATTATACATCATGTTTTCTTTCTAGAGATCGCCTCTGCCTAATTTACGTAACGACAGTTGACATGCACAGGACAGCTTTCAAACATTATTGGAGCCTGCAAATTAACCCCCCATGTGTTAGAGTTTGTTTTTTGTTATACTGTTCCTTTGCTAAATTTGAGTGTGGTGCAACTGGCACATTCAGCTTGTTTGGGCATCTGCCAAGCTGAATTGAAGTTTTCTTTCTCTCTGTCCTTTTTAGGCAATGTTTACTGCTTCTGACTTGGCCTGTAAAATGTGGAGAGCGCAGAAGGCAGTAATAGGAAAGGGAGGAGGTGAAGGAGTGGGGTAGCATGAAGGTAAAAAGAAAATTCAGCTGTAGGAAAAAGCTAATCGAAGAAGAAAGAAGGGGAAACATGGCATTATATAAATGGGGTGGGTAATGGGGGCCGTTGCTGTAGTGTTCATGATGAATATATATTGTTCCAGGTCATTCTTGTGAAAAACACTGTATAACAAGGTACTTTTTCATGGGACTTGTAATGTTCTTTTTTTTTTTTTAATACTATTTGCTACAATTTATACTTCTAGCCGACTACAAAACGTAATCACAATAAACTCACGTTTTAACGGGGTTTAAAAAATAAAGCTGAGATCTGGTAGTAATATTCTGCTCCAACAATATTCTTCTTTTAAGCTTTTAATATTCTGCTCCAACAACATCCTTATTTTTATAAGAGGGCTTTAAGTACTTAAGACTTTTTGTCACTTTTTTTTTTTTTCCATCAAGACTGATAACATAATTTTAAGCAACCATTTGGGTATAGATCCGTAGTTCTTAGTTTTGAAAGGGGCTCTAACTGTATTCCTGGGGGGTAGTGCTATCGTATTAGAAAGTTTCTAACCAAAAATAAAAGCGCTGTCGTGGTGAATGATATTAAATTGATTTCAACCTCTTGGAAAAGCATTGAGTAGAAAATAAGATTTCTGGGGGTATTCTGCACCTAAAATGTGTACAGTACAGGAAGTTTTTGTTCTAGATTATGAGGAAAGTCGCATTTCTGTGCTCAGTATGTGACTGACATATATACTAGCCTAATTGTCACATGCCTTAGCCTGCGCAAACACCGACTTTCAGAATATCCGTATTTCTATTGAAAGTTCTGCAGTAGAACCATCGAGAGGCTACTGTGTACTTGGATAAGCTCTGACACATGATAGTGCCTACTTTCAAGGGGGGATCTTTGCTTTCTTCATAGTATAGATCAGTGGTTCTCAACCTGTGTAACCTCAGGACCCACATTTGTCCTTGATCATTAAGTGGTCACCCAAGTTTCAATGGAACGCACAGCATTGAGGTACCGTGCGGGCGATTGAACTGTGGAAGGGAGGTGTGTTTGGGGTGCCATTATGAGAACTGGAGTGCATCCTCAGCCGGGTGTCTAGTGCTGGGCTGCTGTGACGGAGATCCATGCATTGCATGTACAACTCCCTTGCGCGCCCTGTTGAGATGCCGGGAGCCAGAATGTGATGTTACTCCGGTCCAGTCACCTCTAGAGGGCACATGAGGGAGCTGTAAGCAATGCAAGTAGGGATGGAGCTCCCTCGTGGCCATAGCCCCAGCCCAACCCACCTCAAGCTGACATTCGACGCCAGGCAGCATATTCTGAATGGCTGCTCTGCGTCACAACTGACATTGTTGTGCTTGGAGGAGGCTAAGAGACTCTCGCCTAGAAAAGTGGAAGGCACACGGCAACCCACTGAACACAGGGTCGCGACCCACTTTTGGGTCACGACCCACCAGCTGAGAACCAAGGGTATAGATGATCTCTGAGGAGAATCTCAGCCCATGTGTTGGAGCTAGGGCACAGCTGAGGCATGGCGAATGTTACAGCAAGATCAGAGAACTGTCTTTGCCTAAAATACCTTGCTGTTACTGAGTGGTGCTGAGTTCAGCTGCATATAAAGCCATTTTGTGTTCTAAATCGAGAAGGGGAGTATTATAACCCCATATTGCTTTCTAGGACTAGTTATAGTCACCCCCACTATGTGTGCCCCGGTGACCATTGTCACTGGAACACAAACTGATGGAAAATCCAACATTCTACAGGTGTCACTGGAACAGGAGATGGGGTGAAATCCTCAATGTATTTCTGTTGAATTTTTGGGGCAGGAAGTGAATTCTCCCTAATGAGATACAGACAGTCAACAAATACTTGATCAGAGGTTTAATCCTTCCCTACTCTATAAAAGAGATTAAAGGAGAACTATGAGGTGAGTGCTTTCCACTCACCTCATAGTTCTAGCCGACCTGTGACAATGAGACTGTCACAGGTCGGCTCAGTAGATCGGGAGGTGAGCGAACACATACCGGCGTTAACTCACTTCTCGATCCTGTCACGGCTCTCTACCTTGACAGGGGAGGGGCTGGATTCCCCCCTCCCCGCTCCGATCCGCCAGCGCTGACTGGTGGAACGGACGGGGAAGGGGGCGGGTACAGCTGTCAGTCACGCAGCTGGGCAGATCCCGGCACAATTGTCGGGATCCGCTTCAGCTGCGGTGTCTTAGTATACCGCGAGCAGCAGCTCGCTGTATACTGCGGCGTCTCAGTATACCGCGAGCTGTAGCTCGCGGAATACTGAGCCTAGGGTGACGGGAGGACGCTAGTTTGTGTTCTCCCGTTACCCAAAGGAGAACTATGGGGAAAAGCCTTAACCCCATAGTTCTCCTTTTAAGCTTTAGATATAGTTGAAGCCAGTTATGCAAGGCACCATCCACAATAACTCTGCAGAGATGTGCGATTATTATCAGCAGCTCATGGAATCTGTTGGGGACAGTTGTTTCCAGTAATGTTAGGGGTGGCTCCCTTTTAACCTCTATGGTTGCAGTTTCTCACCAAGGATAATACCAGAAAAATATTGGTGTATTTTTTAAAATTTTTATTCTTCATTCATATACATTGTGAACTGGCTACTCACCAATTTGGTCAAATTTGATGTCTAAAAGTTGCAAAAATCTATTCATTTAGAAAAGGGGCTGATTGTTTTTCACTGCATGGGATACACAGATTTTCACGCAAAGCTTTATTTTTTATACACATTGACCTAATCAGCTTTGTTTATTGTCAACCTGACTTTTCCTTACAAATTGTTTTAGCATTTGTTCTGATTGGACCAGAGGTAGACATTCTTCCTTCCACATTGACTCCATATATGGGAATTCCCATCTGAAAGAGAAATCTATCAAGTGCAGCACCCAGACAGTTTTAACTTATTGTTGGCATATTTTCTTTTGATGACCGGGCATACAGATTGTTTCCTCCAATTCTAAACTCTACAGTGCTGGGAAAAATGTTTACCAAATTTCAAATGTTCTGTACATTGCAGTGTTTTACTTAAACTTGGTTCAACATTTTCATCAGTTCTAATAATAATATCAATGGAGCCGGGGGGAGAATAAAAGTTACACCAGTAACTCTCCTCAGTCATACAATGTTAATATTTATAAATTGTCGTTTATCTTCCTGTGATGATCATCTTTGCATGATTCGTAAAAGGGTTGATGACCATGTCCCACTGGCTTGGAAGATCTTCCAACAAGTGTGAATATCTCCATGTCTGCTAATAAGCAACTCCAACTTCCTCACAATCATTTTTAATGCAACCCTATTATAAGCCTGTGTAATTTATACTGAGCATAACATGCAAAGGCAGAGGTTACTCGCATAGAAAACAGCTTGCCCAACCATTCCAGATCCAGAGATGAAGGCACCCAAAGCTTTACGCAGTTATCTACTTCTCCCACCTGTTGAGCCTTCGTATTGGTCAGTGAGGTCAGGCATCCAATAAACCCTAATAGGAGGACTTAGGAAAAGAGAGGGCAAGCTTACGGCAAAAGACAAGATTTTAATATAAATTTAGCTGCCTGGATCTTTGGATCTGTTTTGATCATTTTGGTTTGTGCTTTCCACTGAAGGTAACCTCTGCTTATGTATTTTTCATCATAGACTCTGTGCGTTGCTAGGGTTTGTGATGGGTTTACCCCAAGGAGAGGAAAAATGGCCTGATAATTGTAAACGGAAAGGTTGATTTACTAAAGGAGTAGATCATGTTTGCTTTGTAAAGAATGCGCAATCATATTCAAAGAAAAATGTATAAAAACAGGATTTTTGGTAGCAGCGTCGCCTCATTCATTGTCACCAAAAAATAATTTTCCCTTGGCTTAGTGAATAAAGTGAAACTGTGCTGACTTCCATCATCCAATCATGTGCAAGCAAATCTCCTGCTTTTTTTGTTTGTTTTTGTTTGTTCCATTTTCCTTGCACATGATTGAGTATTCTTTACAAAGTGAATTTTCACATAGGTCATTGAATGAAGTAAAGCTAAGTAAACGTTAATTTGCAAAGTGAGCATTTAGTATATTGACCCCACCATTTGAAATCAGGAACATCACTTTTATTGACCTGTTTATGGGAGCCCATGCTTATTAGCTGGATAGACTTTGAAACAGCGGTCTGTGAACTGGGCACCAAATCAATAAAAAGTTAGGAAAGAAAACCAGATCAAAATCCAGGGAATTGCGTAACTGACTCTGATTAATTTACATTAACTGGTCAAACAAGAAAGATTGCACAAATAAAATATACAGGAGATTAGCAAGGCAGAAACCACTGCTCACTGAAAGCTCTCTCATAGAGAAACACTAAACCTACAGTATGTGGAGAGGAAGTCTAAAATTGCAGAATTATAAAAAAAAATGAAATAAAGACCTGGCCCGAATTCAGTTGGAATGTTGCAGCAAAATCTGATCTGATGTTCCAAAACCTCCAAATATTGCTGTGTGAGTTAAAGACAATATGCACAGCGGCGGCACCAGCTAGAATTACAGGAAACCCTCAGTCTTACTCACTGCAGATAAAGGTGCCCAGCTACTCACTGACTATAAAAGTATAGCTTTTTTTTCACAATGTAATTATCTCCTATGCTGGGAAATTATAACTGAAATTAAAAATGATGGTGTCATTATTTGAAATGTCTTTTTTGATACTAAACTATAAAAATTCAGTTTAACATGAAAAATAGAGAAAAAATGAAAGCGGACCTTATTTCTCTGTCCTCCATTTTGCTTTGCACTGACTGACTTCATCATCAGCATTATCACTTTCAATCCATTGATCCTGCTCTCGTCAAATTTCATCTTCCCTTACTTTTTTTAATCAGCCCGTTTTTGATTCACAACCCATGCATTACCCTTCTTTCTTTATGACATGCCTCTTTATCTGTTTCTAGTGACTGCTTCTGACCTCTTGCTCTCTGGAATGAGGGCATTGGAGCATGTAGCAGTGACGGTGACTATTAAACATCCACGACGTGGGAACTTGCAGATGCAACTCTATTGTCCCAGTGGGGTGTCTTCCCTTATAGGAGCCACGAGGAAGATAGACAAGTATGTATATTTGTTGCTGAGTGATCACATCTCCGGTTACCTGGCTTCTCTCTTGAATCTAAAAATATATTTGTATGCACAAAACACAAAGATATTTATATTGGCGTCCACAAAGCATTGTATTATTTATTCAGCAAATCTGCTCTTTCATTTAATCCCGGTGGTTTAGTGGCCCGCAGCTTATACCTCTCACTGGCTTCCTCTGCAATCGCTTTTTATTTACACACAGAAATAACTGCATTCATTTGGGGAATACATAACCCAATGGGGGGAATTTATCAAAACTGGAGCAGTTGCCCATGGCATCCAGTCAGCTTCTCTCTTCAGTTTGCTCAAGTAAGATTTGAAAATGAGATGGAGAAGCTAATTGGTTGCAGTGCAAATCTGCTCCAGTTTTGATAAATTCCCGTCAATGTGTGTGCATTTCTTCTTGAGCACCAGTTAAAATATCTTCGTTTTTCTGAAGTAAAATTGTATAGTGTATGTATAGCGGTTTCTGAGTGGAAAGATGGGGAAAGATAATGCATTAAAATTACTGTTCACACATCTTAGAGTATATAGCGTTTGCATTTTCTGTTGACAAGTGCCTGTTATATAATTAATATCCTTTTCATTTAAAGTGATCCAGGTGGCTTTTCTGACTGGACATTTTCAACAGTTCGTTGTTGGGGAGAGAATGCTGAAGGAATGTATAGGCTGCTAGTAACTGACCTAGGTACGTTTTCATTGTTGTAAGCTTTGGCAGATGGTATCTACTTGCATATGTGAGATCTGTTAGTGGCATCCTGACACATCTAATGACTGTGTATTTACTCTGTACAGGAGACGAAACACTTAAAAAAGGCATTTTTCAGACCTGGCAGCTAACGCTTTATGGTTCTTCCTGGACAGCTGAAGATGTCGCTGAAAGAAGAAGGTGAATAAATAGCAGTAACAGGAAATGTAAATCTTGATACTGTATGGGAGCAATTGCTTTGCTTAGTGAGGGGCATTCACGGTTGTAAGCTACATCGCCTTGCTTTCATTGCAGGATCCAGGGTACAAAACTCAAATACCAAATGTTTTTTAGCTTTTCTGTTATCCAGTGTGCATTTATAATTGTGAGCACTGTCTATGCATTCTTGGATAAGCTTTCTAACTTCTCTGGGCAGGGATAAAAGGTGTAAATGAATGCAACTCTCTATTAATACATCATTATTTTTTATGTGATGTGAGCAGTGCAAGTACATGAATTTGAACTGGTAACATCCTTTTGCAATCCCATGTACAGCATAGCTCAAATAAGAAGAGAGAAAAGCAGCACTGGGTTAATAATGACCAGCTAGGTCCTTGTGGTTCACACAATCACAATATGTCACTGGCTATGTGATCTATTAGTAACATGTATTTAAGCTTTGAATACGCCTGATGACCATCTGGATCGGCCATGATTTAACAGGGTTGAGGTCTTTGACACCCCCTTTCAACCACACATAATGCCATTTTAACATTTCAACTTGTCGGGCTGACAATTCACACCTTCAGCCATGTAAATTGAATGATTGACACTATCCCAGACTTCGACACCATGGGGTAAGATTATGGAATTAGAACAGACTTTCCCACTTCCCATATTGTTCTTGAACAATCACCATCTGTCTTTACACATTTCAGTGATCAGATGAAGGTGATTGAATAACTCATGTGGCTGTAAATGCAATATGTCCCTGCCACTCATTAGAACTAATGAAGCTGCTTGGATAGGCTTCAAAATGTTCTTAACATTACAGGTGACTAACTAGGAGTAGCTTTATAAAAGCTGATGAATGAATATGTATAACCTTGGTTTCCGTTTAATAGGCTTGTGGAGCTCGCTCAGAGTGGTCAGTTCCTTAATGGGAATTTTTCTCTGCCTTGTCCTCCTGGCTTGGAGATCTCTGAACAAGAAAGCTACACCATTACTAATAACACTCTGCGGGTAAGAACCTTTAAGAATGTAACCTTTTTTTTTTTTTACCTTGTCACATGATTAGTAATCACTGTATGTCAAATTCATGATTGTTATGTGGGAAAGTATATCACTGGGGTAGAGCTGGATAGAAAAAAAAAAAGAAGAGTAATATTCCAAGAATACCTATCCATTATTTCCCCACCACATTCTCTTTATCTTACTGCAATTTTTAAAGCTCAAATTGCATAAATAGGATTCACTTCTGTGACAATTCATTAGGTATGTAACAATGCCACTTATTCAAGACCAAGTACAAGTGCTTTCCCTCCGATACTTGCCTTAAGATACTTTTTCATAAAGTGACATGTGACGTTTTTTCTTAAACACAGACTGATGATTTTAGGGCAGTTTCTCACCAGAGCTAAATCCTAGATGTCCCCAGAGCTAAATACTTGTCCACAGAGCACAATACATGCCCCCAGGCTGGGATCTCACCTAGGCAACATGTGGATCTCTGCAGGGCTCTGCGAGCAGTGGCTATGCTTGAAGAGTTGATCAGGGCGGGTGCCGCCTCTGGGGCTGTACTGTGCTGTGTTGAGCTGTCCATGGCTGTGCCTGTGCCAGGAAGGAGGAGCAGGAGATATAGAACCAGACAGGTACTGCCAGGGCCCAAGCAGGCTGCTGAGGTCCCCACAAGCGCAGAAACTCTGCAGCCGCTGCAGTTTAAAAATGTAATGGGCCGGTATTGGCCATAAGAATCGGGGCATTTTAACGAGTACAAGTACATGTGAAAATACTTGGTATCGGCCCCAATACTTATCGGTTTCGGGACATTCCTACAATTCATTATCTGTGTGCAGGTATACTTTTGCAGTATATGAAATAACTATAATTCTGGTCTAAAACATAACTGCAAATTATTCTGTGCTCAGAATACCACATTTTTAAAATGTTTCCTTATTCTTAGAGTAGACTTCCATCAACAGCTATTTAGTTTTTTTATAGAAGACATTTAAGACATCAAAGCTATGCTTACCGACCTCAGTCAGTTGCGTTTTGGTCCCACTGACATTACTGTGTAAACTTGTTAAACTCAGAAGGGTTTCTTTGGCAAGCATATGTTTACAAACCTGACATAGGAGTTTTCATTAAGTTCTCATATAAACATTTTGAGCATAGGATGATTTATAGTATCTGATGAGTAAATCTAGAGCTACCAACAGCGACCCATGATGAATATTTTCCTTTGTAGAGTTCTACTGCTCCTCACTACCACTGAGTCTTTCAGTTGACTTGTCCCCACTCACTTGAAAAAAAGATGCAAAACTGAGTGATATTTAGTTTGTTAAAAAGGAACTTTCTCAGCTGTGCCCAAAAAATGACGAGCGGAGATAAGCTGTGCCCAAGAAAAGACAAGTGGAGTGCAAAGGACTGGCCCCTAGCATTACCAGTGGTCTCCCTGCAGCTGATCTTTCTACCATTACTGACTTACCATGCCATGCTTTATCTCTATGCAGAGGTGGCCATCATGGTAGAGGCAAGGCTTTGCTTCCTAATGTTAGACTTTCCACCAATGAGAACTTGCCATTATTTTTTAATAAATGTTACACGCATATGAGATTTCACTGATCGGGTTTATAGTGGAAGATGAGGGGGAATGTTGCAGGAACATCACAAAGATGGTGGTTCCTAGTCTTTAGTCTACTTAGTCATAACTCTAAAACAATGCAAACCAGGGATGTCTCGATACTGATACATTTTTTTCAACTAGCCTCGGCCATTGACCCACATAGCCCCTCCCTCGGAATACCTCTCCACCAAACGCAGGCTCCCTAGTAATGCACTCATCACCTGGCATACACAGAAGTTTTCACTCTCAATGAAAGCAGAGAATGTCCGTTCTGTGTGGTCATGGGGTAGGAGAGGAGGGAAGCTGTAAATCTTGCCTTCACACAGAACGGCCCTTACCTTCTTTCATTGTGTACGTCTGGTGAGGGCATTATTAAATGCATAAGGAGCACGGACAGCTGACACTGAGATATATCACCTAAAGCAAACCGTTTCATCAAGTGGAAAAGGAATGGACACCTGTAACAATAGACAGCCTGCTATTGGTTATTGCAATTTAAAATACCCAATAGCAGGCTGGCTATTGCTCCCAGCCACTGCCTGCTGTATTTACATTCGGTGAATCCAGTGAAATGGAAAGGTGACACTAGAGGTCTAAAAGACCCCTAATGTCACCTTAAAGAGAACCTGTCACCTCCAATGCACGCAGCCCTGGTGAGAAACTGCCCTAAAATCATTAGTCTGTATTGTTTTAGAAAACATGTCACATGTCCCTTTAAGAAAAAGTATCGGTAATTGGTATCGGCAAGTACATGAGGGACAGTACTTGGTCTTGAAAAATTGGTATCGGGACATCCCTAAGGCAAACTAATGAACTTATTATAAAGCATAACTTGGTTAGAACAATTCTAAGTGTTTTTTTATTTTTCCTGTTTAACCATAATGATTTTCCCTTCTCAGACTCTTATGCTCCTGGGCTGTTTTGCTGTATTTTGGTCCCTGTACTATACCATAGAGCTGTACCTTTCTCGAATGTCCAGCAGTAAAGATCTGGATCTTAGCTGTGACGTTTCCCCTTGCATTTGGACCCAACAGCGGGCTGCCCCTAGCCCCCGGCAGCTAGAAGCAGGCACTGAGATTGAATCATTACCCCTATGTGGTTTAAAAGACACTGTTCTGGAGGGTGAGGAAGATGATGAAGATTGCAGTCATGTTCATAGGAATCACTACTCGTCAAATCACAATAGATTAAATATAGCTTCTGCGGGACATAGACAAGGCTTGACCGACTTTAATTTGCACAAACATATAAGGCAGGCTACTCCTGATGTTGATACAAATATACATGACCTAAAGGATATTGGATACAAGTAAGTAAAATGGATATTTGGGTCTGGAAAAAAGAAAATGCTGGGAACAGAACACAGTGGTTTATACAGGACAGTCTGTGCCTGTCCAGATGTAATATTGGAATTTTGCCTTATCCTATCATCATTATCCTCTTAAATGATGACGTAAGTATGGAGGAGAGCAGCCTCTAGAATCTCCCCTTCAAGATGGCTTTAGTTTGTATGGATTTCTTCAGATGCTGGCGGTTTGGGACTAGAAACATGCATATTGTACATGGAATTTATTTACTGATTTAACTTTAATACGGGTGATCGTTTTTTTTTTAGGCATCTTAAAGGGACACTGCAACCTCAAAACAACTTTTTATTATTATTATAGGAAAAATCTTTTTACAAACAAACTTTCAATGTATTTTTATGAAGATATGATTTCTTTAAAATGGATATCACTTCTTCCTTCCCAACAAAATATTTTTCTACCTACACTACAGTGGAATTTCTTTAATTCAGCATGCACTGGTCCGAGCTTGTATCTAATTCTCATATGATCCAAGTTATTAGGCTACTTTCAGTAATTTGGGTGTGAAAATAATATTTTCCTGGGGGCATTTTCCTATTGTATTTTTGGTAGGTGTGACAATTCTGTAATATTTACGGCACCACACAATGGTACATTAAAAATGTTGTGTATAATTTTATCCAGGTCATAGGTTGGGTTATCAGCATTTTCTAAATTCTGAAAATCCATCAGGATGGGTTCAGGTAGCCGAATTAAAGGAATTCTACTGCATATTTTTTGTGCTTACAGTCGTGTAATGCTTCTAGTGGAAAGGGGACCCCCTACCTTACGCCAACACTCTGGGGTCCCTCTCTTTATCCCTGCTGGAGCCTTTTCCTATAGCTGTTTATACTGTCTTGGTAGATGAAGCCTGACTATTCTTTGGCCATTTTCAGATTCAGAATTCTTTGACTCTCCTAAATGAGTTGGGGAAACTGTATGTGGGGATGACTATCGGAACAGGAGGATCACTTAGTCCTCTTTGTAGTCTTTCTGTCAATGACAGTCTTTATTCTATCCATTACAATATGATGAGGCACCAAGGCATCACTATATCAAAGTGGAGGAGATCTGATTTTTGTTCCTGTTCAGCACGAACGATCTGACATTTTTCATTTAAGTGGAAAACCCTTTTTAAAGTGAACGTGTTGTGACCACCAAAGTGAATACATTAACAATAACAATTAAAGATGCTCCTGCACTTCTTATCAGATCCGTTCATTTGTGGCTGGGCAGGAGCCTAGTTCCTGAGTCTCGGCTGTACATAAAGCCTCAACTTCTCTCTAATTTAAATGAAGCTCTGTCCCCTCTCCATCATTTCACATCACCGCCTGTCCAGTTGATATGAATACAGATGCCGGGACAGCCTGCACCTTACTGAGAATGTTTGTTTATACACTTTCGTGGACAAATCAGGTTCTCTTATGATAACGTCTTTTTGACACAAAGTGTCCCTTTATTCAGGTTGCTGCTGTGTGAAGCCTATAATGTAATGCCAAAAGCAAATGCACAGTTGGATAAGGATTTGCAAAAACATGTTGGGTTTTTTTTCCATTTGCATTTGATTTTTTTATGTGTTTTTGTTTTGTGTGATTATTTTATGTTGCAAAAGAACCTAAGACAATAGTTGTGAGTGAAAGTTTTGTAATCCATTAGGAATTGTCTGGTTTCTGCATAAAAGGTTTCTAAAATCTTCTTCTACATACTACTATGAAGGCAGCGCTTTATAATCAATACACAAACATTTAGAACAACTTGGTCATTTAATAAAAACACTATGTGAACCCCCGTAGTTGAGTAAGCCCTCATTCACACTGGAATCGGCCTGCGCGTACAGCTCCGTGCAGGGCCGTACCGAACAGCTCCGGGAAGGACAGGTGCTGCGTGTGATTAGTATGCAGCCCCTGTCCTTCTCTCTGGGACTACGTGGCTGTATGCCCCCCTACCCTCACCCGCCCTGCACGTCGGTGCGGGTGAGCGTACTTGTACGCTGACAGGATCGATCCTGTCTGCGTCCGAGCCAGGAAACCCGCACCCCTATGGACCTGCACTTGAGGTGAGCGTAGGGGGGCGAACGGCCACGTAGTCCCATAGAGAAGGACAGGGGCTGCATACTAATCACACGCAGCACCTGTCCTTCCCGGGAGCTGCTCGGTACGGCCGTGCACGCACTACAGAGCTGTACGTGCCGGCCGATTCCAGTGTGAATGAGACCTAATAGTGCAACAACCCCTAATGGCACGCTCCTTTATGGAAGTCTTTCTATTGTTGGTGATCAGATATGAACAGTGGTTAGGAGTTATTATGGTCCTTTCCAACATATATAACTGTTGTGGTGCTTGGAAATGTCTTTAGATTACAAATTGATGTTTTGTGAATGTGCTGTAAAATTGATAGAGCTTGGAATCTATTGCTCCATCTACCGTTGCTAGGTGTCCTGGTCCACCCTGTTTCATAGCTTGATTGAAGTTTTGGTATGCAGAATATTCAACAAATCCCACTACAGAGTAGCTCAGGCTTTGGTTCACATGTTCACATAAAATTGTTCTAGTAGTACTGTTCAGCATTCGGTTGGTCTTTATCAAACTTGAGGTAAGTTTTTGGAAGAATAGTAGTTGTGGGAATTATCATGAATAGGAATGATCTACAGATCCCTTGCTCCTGTTGTAGGGCTCTATGTCTCTTGTGTTGAGGACTATATGATTTGTGCACTGGTTTTTGAAGCAACACCCAAACCTCTATTTAAGTCCCTTTATATTACCCTTCCCTGTCTAATTAGCTTCAACAGTTCTTCTGAGGTCCTCTAAAATCTCTTTTGATTGGCCATAGTGTACTTCAATCATTTTACTCTAAAGAACCGGTAACCATTTTTTACATGGCAGAGAAGGTCAAACTCGCATCTGAATCGGCTGAACCTCGAGACTTATTAATGAGAATGCCTGACTCCAATTGCCTTCTGTTGATTGTTTCAATCAGCAAATGGCAATGCAAAAATGTATGAATGGCTTATTAAGTAATGATATGTTACTTTGGCCTATGTAAATGTAAGGAGCCATTTATGCCACAATCTAAACATTCCTAAGGGCATACAAGCTTTTTCTCACAATGATAAATGTGTTGCATACTGGCACTGTTGACACGGTGAAGTAAACCTGTCCTTAAAATATATTTATTATTGAACATTAAATATTATATGTAATATAGTGGGAATTTTAGCATTAATCTAGACATTACTGATTGTAATCTATCAGTAAACTTTAGAGTAAGTACCTGGCAACGTGCTGCCCATTTAACATCATTCAAACTACATAAACAAAGCCTGCTCATCTATAAATTAGTATCATAAATACAGACATTCGTCGCAAGGCAGTCCATCTCACTTAATTATAATCTCTCATGTTATTAACAGATCTGTTATCGTCTTTACCTGTTTTCCCACCCTTACTGCTACTGCGTTTACCCAGGATACAAAGTATATGTTATGCAGGGGTACCAACCAAGGGATTGCTGCTTGTGGTCTAGGAGCAACCAAATCTGACGGTGCAATGGTCTGGTAGTATCAGTAAAGGCGCCAGAGCAAAAACAAATAGGAAATTAGTTTAAAAAAAACAGAATGTTATGGCAGCTAGACTTGATCCTGCTCGGTACACTGGGTTATGATTGCAACTTATTAAAGAGAAATGTAGTAAAATCGTTGCAAAAATGTTTTGTATATTGGACCTTTATATCTTGGAAACGGCAATATGAAAGTCTGTGCACAATTCCTAGGCCACCAAAGAGTTACCTATACTGCCATCTTTGTAAACCAAAAATGTTATGGCTTCATAATACCCTCTGCCACCATATATACTTTCTGCTCCCTGACACATTGTCATCTCTTCTGTTACTTGCCTGTCCACAGGAGCTTCCTTACAAAACCATTTTTTAGATTGTGCATCCCTGAAGCATGTACTTTGGTATCGCATGCTTAGCTGTGATCGATCCGGATTTGCTTCGGCCCCTTCAAAATTCACAGAAGGGTGAAGAGTTTGGAGAAGGCAGGAGAAGTGAACAATCTAGGACAACATAGCTGAGCTGGAAACATTCTCCGATTCAGATCACTTTCCAGATCAGCTATGTTGTCCTAGATTGCCTTCTCCAAACTCTTCACCCTGTTCATTTTCTTTGGTGGCCGAAGACTGGCAAAGTACTGTGTTACATACAACAGTCATACACTGTCACTGTGATCACACAGTGCACAATCTCTGCTGTCAGCCGTCATTTAGATTACTGTGCTTAGGAGCTGTGAGATATTTTGCTGTGATATTTTAAAAACCGTATAGGATGTACTCGTTTAATTGCTATTGGTTTGGTTTTGAGGACAACCCAAACATGATTCTGTTGTTTTGAGCAGCTATTTAAAATAAGATGTATTGTTTTCAGATGTCCCAGAAGCTGTTTTAATTCCCAGAGCACTTTATATGAGCTGGTTTTAGGCTTATTTAATAAGGAAGAGAAAAAAATCAATGAAAGCGTTGGTATGGATTGGTTGCTGTGGGTTTCTGCTTTGTGGACGCTGTTCTTTGCCATAGTAATTCAGCCTTCCCGTTCATATACCTGAACTTCAGTTCACTGCTGCTGAGGTGTGTGTGTGAAGTGAATACCATGCCAGGCTCTCAGTAAATGTATTCTTGTACTACTGGCTGCAATATAGGGATCTTTTCTGGGACTTAGACGATGGACACATCAGAGAGCAACGAGATTTAACTTTCTAAAATAGTTGCCAGTGAATATTGTAGACCAGATTTTTCTAAAACATGGTTACAGTGAATTCTATTGCACTATAGACATTTTCATCGAGACTTTTTAGACTAAAATTCCAAAACCTTTCTAAGGAAATTCACATTAAAAGTGACTTTCACCCACTAAAGCCTTGGTTCTCAACTGGTGGGTCGTGACCCAGAAGTGGGTCGCAAACTCATGTTCATTGGGTCGCCGCATGCCTTCTACTTTTCTAGGTGAGAGCTCCTCTGTCCCCCTACCTAGCACAGCACTGTCAGGTCTAACGCCAAGCAGCCATTCAAAATAAGCTGCCCGGCGCTGAGCATCAGCTTGAGGTGGGATGATATGGTGGCTATGACCGCGAGCGAGCTCCATCCATACGTGCATTGCTTGTACAGCAATACACGTGTCTTGTAGAGGTGACTGGACCAGAGTGACATCACATTCTGGCTCCCGACACCTCTACAGGGCCCGCAAGGGAGCTGTACAAGCAATGCACGTATGGATGGAGCTCCGTTACAGCACAGCAGCCCAAACAGGACCCCAGTCCTTGTAAAGAAGGGAAACTGGGTGGACCTTAAAAATGTTTTGTAGTGTGTGCCTTAATTCCGTGCATTCCTCTGCAGTGCGATTTGGGTCGTGACTTAATGGCCAAGGACAAATGTGGGTCCTGAGGTTGAACAGGTTGAGGACCACTGCACTAAAGTGTATAAATTAACATTACTAGTAGCATACAGGGAACCTGTGTTACCAGGAAGAACCTACAC